ATTTTTGTATTTTAATGACTAAAACGATATACGCTTTACTAAAATTCCGCATATTTGTCGGGAACTCACCTGAGACCAATAATACTACGCTCTGACTTAAAATGACCAGAGCCGCCGTTATAAAGCCAAGGCACGAGCCGCACCGGCGAGGCTCGTTTTGTGTCGTGCTCGCGCGCAACACCCCGGGCTTCAACCCGGCCGTCTCCGGACGTGCGAGTCGGTGGCCTCGCCTGCTACTTGGGCTCGCGCCCGCAGGGAACAGGGCTCAACGCTTGGCCAGAATTATTAACGAGGGCAGCCGCTAGTCACAGGCTGTTCTGGCCTGCGCCGTCGCAACGACAACTGCCGCTCTGGAATGAGTGGCGCTGTCTTAAAACCAGCGGAGCGGTGGGTTTTTTCCAGACAAGTTGGCTAAGTCAGGAGTGGGGATGGTGGAGGGGGGGCGTGCTATCAATCAAATTGCCCCCCCCCCCCCCCCGCCAATTTGAACACTCCCGAGGGGACACGATTTCCCAGGCGAGAGTGTGTTACGCGCCCTTTGGACAAAGGGAGATGGAGTCTTCGGCCCGACTACAGTTCGCGCTGCGACCTCGTGGAGCTGCGTGAAACCTTTTACTGTTCTTCAGGCTGCTGCGGCTGCTGCTGCTGCTGCGTAGGCTTTCGCGGTCGTGCTATACTGCTCTGCGATGTGTTTGAGGGTTGTACCGCATGTTGTTCAGCGTAGCGTCCGACGTTTCGGATATCCCATCGCGTGCAACGAAACGTCGTACGTCGTGCCGACCAACACACATGGTAGAACCCGAAAACCCGTCTATCATTCCGTTTATAATCTAAAACAATTTGGGAATAATCTTGCGCACGCGTAGATTGCGCAATGCTGTCCAACATGCATTTGTCCATGGAAGGATTTAATTAGCAGTGTAAAGGAAGAGGATATCATCACAAAGCTACTTTTTAGATACCTTCCAGTCACCTCCCTTCTTCCACAGATTACAAAAAACTGAACACATTTGTCAATAACACTGTGCGTGTGTCTGTGTGACCTTAATATATCATAATAATATGGTATGTTTCGGGCAATCACCTTTCTTCGCACATGAACACAATTATCAGTATGGAAGCCAATCGGGAGCTCTCAGGGCAAAATAATTTGCACATTCGCAAAGAGTAATTTTAGCGTCAGTTTGTGCCTACAGATTTTTGGGCAACCCTTATTTTGGGGGTCCCGATAATAGGAAGAATGAAAAGTCGCTTTGCTGTTGAAAGGCATTTCGCAGTTTTTTCAGAAATCTGTCCATCGTCCCCAGCGCTGCGGTGGTGTAGGGTTCCTCGTGCCATCGCGTCCGCGCCAGCGTCTCGGCTCTTCCGTAAACACGCCCGCGCACATCGTCGGCCGGCGACGCCGACCCCTCCCTGTCTCCCGCCCACCTCACAGCCACCATTTAAAACATTCTTTAAAAAAACACAAAGTCCCCTCTCTCTCCTCGCCTCTCTCTCTCTCTTTCATGGGACCGCTTTTCGTTCCGCCCAGCTGCCTTCTCGTTTTCAGTTATTTTCCTCCGTGCGGATTTGTGAGGTGGAAAAAACGAAGAGGTGGGGCGGGGGGGGGGGCAGGCAATGGGGAACACAACCTCCCTCCACCCCGCACCGCCCCTCTTTTCCCCATTTCAAGAAAGCGCAGCTCGCGATTTGCCGCTCACCCTTATCTCGCGTAATTAATCGGGCCGCGTGCGGCGGTGGCGGTGGCGGCAGGGGCTTCTGGAATGGGCGAGCGCCATAATTGGAGCTCCCAAGGTCGTCGAGAGTTTAAGCGGCGAAGCTCGCCGCTCGCTCCACCTCGACCGGTCCTCGACCGGCAAAGGTGATCGGCCCGTCGTGATGATGTCCACCAGCCGCCTCAGCCTGTCAAGCCCATAGGCTCCTCTACTCGTCTATAAAACGATTTCAGCTGCTGTTTCCACCAGTTGTTCAGCTTGTATCCACCGAAGACTGCTTGTGTCCCAACGTCTCCCCCCACATTTTATGAAGTCCACCTCTCTTCATGCCTTTAAGTTGTGTGGGAGTTGTGGAGGCTGTGTCCACCCCCTCGCCTTGCCCCCCCCCCCCCCCCACCTGCCCCCGCCCCCCCTGGTTGTGTAACTGTGGGGTTGGAAAAGAACGTATTCTTTTTCAAAGTTTCATTGCAGTTGCGATTTCGAAGTCGTGCCGTGACATGAACAATTTGACATGAGCAATCGTGCAGAGTGGAGTGTGGCAGATTGATAGAGATTTTATCGCAGACACTGCTTCTAAGATCCCTTAAAGTGACCAATGTATCCACACAATAACTTGTAAACTAGTTCACGGAGAAATGTTCGTCGCATGGCATTGAAGGCGATATTTTTTTTTACACGTCTTTTCAAAAGCTGGATTTCAGCCAAATTAATTGAAAAGGCCAATTCAATGTGGTGGCTTTTCTGTGCCGTCACTCTTGACCGGGCTGAGACCATCAACCGGGCTACGCCTGAAAATCCAGTTTACTCAAGGCAGCGGCTAAAACCCGTGATTAGAACCCAGGGTGTCTCAGGAACAGTGCCCCTGCTTGGCATCTCTGACCCCATTGATCTGCCACCCTGTCACATCTTCCAACAGTTGGTCTTTAATTGTGCATGTGTCCCTTGTTGCTCAAGTTTTGTAATGTTTCCTCCGCACGCCACTTACGATTGTTTCATGTGAATGAATGATGGGACCCCAGTCAGCGCAGGCAAGCGAATGCTAAGCAAACCCTGCAAAGATTTCACAGCCGTTAAAGAACCAGTGAACGGCCGTACGCACTTCTTGGAAACAGTACATCATCTTTATTGCTGTGGTCATACGAGCTGTGTCGCTCTTTAAGTTGCTGATACATAATGAATGCACGGTTATTAAACCGTTGTGATCGTTTCATTTGGCCGTTTCACCGCCAACTTTTTGTTTTTGTTCTCCGATGTTTGTGTTCTGCCAATTTTATCCCGATTGCGTTATCGGCGTGAAGTCGTAAAGACGGAAGGATCCATTGGCAACTCGCGCAGAGCGGCGTAATCCCTCTCGCCTCGCCGTGTTGGAGAACGGAAGGAGTTATCACAGAACTACTTGTGAAATAGCTCCTGGGTGAGCTCTTATCCACGGCAGTGGATAGCACTTTCCCTCCCGCCTGGCTAGAATTTAGCCAAATTAGTTATAAAACCAAATTCTGTCATGGCTGAGACCATCAACTTACTACGCTTGTTTAATCATCATAATTCAGTTCATTTCATTTATTAGGCATAGCCCTGTGAGCCATATGGCTCTTGACTCGGGTGCAACCGCATCAAACAAAAACATGAACAAGAAACATCTTAAAGTGACTACACGCAGCAGAAAAATCCAGGAAAAACCAGCAAAGTCTTCCAGAAAAAGCACCGTATATCAACGCTGTGTGCAAAAATCCCAGTGGGATGCAAGTCAAACAATAACAACCATAAGACAATTTAGATTAAAGTTATCTAGCTAACTCTGTACTACAACAAACAAATATGGCTAAACCAAAACGTTTTCGAAATCACCAAAATAAAGCTATAAAAACAATGTAACTGTGATCATAGGAACTGTGATTAAAATTTAACAATAAACGATATACATAACATGTACGACCAAACTTTGCAGCCATAGCTGGCAGCAACTCGTAACGTGCTAGAATGTCTCCCTGCTCGCTCCCAAAGATGGACAATTACTCGGATGCCTGAGGAATCGCAGACGAGCGGGAAAGGCAGTAGCCAGGCAGTGAGCCGGCACCAAATTCCGCCCCACCCCTGCGGCCCCCCCCATATATGTTATCGGCCATTGAGTATTTACGTATGGGAGGACACTGGAGCACCCGGAGAAAACCCCGCACGTGCCAGGGGGCAACGCTCTTATCTCATACAGATGGAACGGGTGGATTCCATATTTGCTGTCACGCCTACTCGTGGCAAGCCGGGGTACGGGGCTCTTCGAAGCCCCCACGGGAAGGGAGTTTCGCAACATTTGCGTGGCGATCTACCACAACCCTCGCGATGAACTCGTGGGCAGCTGCGATTCTGATTCAAACCCCAGGATCACAGCGGTGCCAGCTCGGCGCTCTCATCTCTTGAGCCACCCGACCACCTCCATTTCACGACCACCTCAATAGCAGACGACACGACCCGTACACCCCGAACCTACAAAACAGCTACCGAGTAGGTAGATCGTCACCTAACGCTGGGTATCCTGGATTGGCCAACCCCGGGTGGGAACTTTTTAATGGGGGAACAAAAAATATCTAAAGTGTCAGTTTTACACTTGTCAGTCAAGTCTTCTCACTGCACTGATTTTGAAAACACGTTCCTTCGGAGTGGGCGGGTAGGAACTTGGTTGGACAGCGCATTCGTGCACGACAGAAAGCTCGCGGTCACGTGACGCACTTCAACCAATCCGGGAGCGTACTACATGTTTGGGAGGGGCTATGCACGACAGACAAATAATCCCTGGTGGGCAGTGTGGAACTCTTGTTCCTACCTGTATAAAGCAGTCATATCCCAGTGAGTGCAGTCCTCTGCACCTTGACTTTTTGGTTTTTAAAAGCTTAGCAAGCGTTGGTGGATCACACACAATTTGAAAAGCTCACCTCGACTGTGCCTAGCTTGGTAACGATACAATTGGAATAATTTGTTTTATTTTTCTTGTTTCTCTCTCTTGCACTGTTCATAATGTTTCCGTCTAATTTGTACAGGAACATTAGCTCATCCTTCAAGCATAATGTGTGTAAATTATAAAGAATTGATTCTCCCACGCATGGTTAAATGTACGTATGAAGAGCATAAGAATGGATTTTTATTGTACGAATTATTGATTCGTCATTATGTTTCGAGTAGCTACTAGAAACGAGTCATTAGTTGCATCTTATTCTTCCTTTAAATATCTCCTTTGCATCATCGGTAAATGTTTTTGCCCGTCACGAACGATCATCCATTCCCCTTCTGCAGAGGAGGAGGAAGCGGTCCAGTGCGAAGGCGGCACGTCGGCCGAAGCCATGCAGGTCTCCCTGGACGAGGAGGACGAGGAGGAGGATGAGGAGGAGGACTGAGGAGGTGGAGGAGGGCGAGATCCGGGATGGACTGGAGCCTGGCGAAATCGTGTCGGACGACGGCAAGCGTCAGTTCATCCTGGACGCCGACAGCAGCGGTCCCCGACTCTCCCGTGTCGTCCCGCCACTCGAGCCACCCCAGCAAGCGGGCCCGCCTCTCGGAGCCTGCCCCGGCCTTCCTGCATGGCAGCGGCGGTGGCGGAACACCTCGTCGGCCACTGGGCCCGCTCAGTGCCCAGCAGCTGCAGCAGCACCAGCAGCAGCACCAGCAGCTGAGGGCGCCGCCCGTGCTGTCGCCGGTGCCCGTGTCGGACCCCTCCGAGTCCCCGCCCCTCTCTCCGGAACCGCCGGAGCTAGCGCCGGTGGCCCGGTCCGCGCCCACACAGGAGCGCAAGCAGCAGCAGCAGCAGGCGGCGGCCGTGGCAGCGGCGGCGGCGCCGTCTCATGGCAAGCACAAAGCGCCGCACAAGGCCGCGAAGGCGGCGGCAAAGGCCGCCCCTGCGGCGGCGGCACCGGTGACCGCGCCGTCCTCTCGGCCCACACGCTCGCACAGCCAGAGGTCGCCGGCACGAGACAAGAAGTCTCCCGCTCGCACCAAGAGCCCCAAGTCTCAGGGCAAGAGCAAGGCTGCCTCCAATGCTGCTGCTGCCGCCGCCGCCGCTCCTTTGCCAGCCGCCGCAAGCGGCAAACCGGAAAGCCCGGCACGGGCCCCGTTGGCGCTGTACAACGCGGCCGTAGAGCGGACCTTGCGCGAGACGCCGCCCAAGGCGTCCGCTGCTGCCACTTCCACACCGGGCGCCGGCGACAAGAAGGGCGGGCACGAGGGCACGCCCAGCAGGAAGCAGCAGCAGCAGCAGCAACACCAGCAGCAGGACGATAAGGCCATCACGGACTCGATCGACGCCGTCATCGCGCAGGTCTGCGCCAAGCGCGAGTCGGACCCCTTCGCCTTCTCGTCCGACTCGGAGGGCGAGGTTTTCACGAGCCCCAAGCACCACTCGGCATCCGACTCGAGCACCATCAAGTCCCCGACTCTGGGCACCGGTAGCGGCAGCAGTGGGGCGAGCGCTGGCCAGGCCACCGGTCCGACCGCGAGCCCGGCCAAGGCCACGGACGCGGCGGCGACGAACTCTGGCGGCGAGCGCGAGCGGGCGGCGAGTACCAACGCCGCGTCGTGGACGCTGGACGACTCGATCAATGAGGTGGTGAGGAGGGCGGGGCTGGACGGGGTGGCGGCCTCCCCCGCCGCGACGTCGACGGCGCCCAAGTCGGGCCAGACGGCCGCGGCGCGGGTACTGTCGGTGTCTCCGGCGCGATCGTCGTCATCCGACGGTACCTCCCCGTGCTCCCCACGCACGGACGCCCCCTGCTTTCCGTCGGCGCCACCGCCAGCAGCGCCCGAACCCAGGCCGAGCGCGGCGGCGAAATCGGCGGCGCCGCCACCGCCCACGCTTCCGCCGGCGCCGCCGCTGCAGGCCCAGCCGTCGACGGTGGACGTGAAGAAGCGTCTGAAGAAGGAGCTGCGCCTGAAGCAGAAGAAGAAGGAGAAGGAGCGCGCGAAGGAGCGGCTCAAGGAGCAGCGCGAGAAGGAGCGCGAGCGCCAGCGCGAGAAGGACAAGCGGCGCGACGGCTCCAAAGACCGCCGCGGCCGCAGGGACTCGGACAGGGCGGCCAACAAGGCCAAGGAGCGCGACCGCTCCGAGTCGAAGGACAAGGGCAAGGACCCGTCTCTCAAGAAGGACAAGGACAAGCACCGGGACAAGAAGAAGGACCACGAGAAGACGAGGGGTGACAAGCACGGCAGGGACAAGGGCGGCGGCGGCGGCAAGTCGGCGGCGCTGGCGGCCGGCGGCGCTTCGACGGCGTTCTCCGGCGGCCTCGCGTTCGCGCCGTTGGGGCGAGTCCCGCCAGGCCGGCACGGCGACAGCGGCGGCCCCAACCGTGACAAAGATCGTCACCGTGACAAGGACAAGAAGAAAGACAAGAAGAAGAAAAAGCGGGAGAAGGATCGGGAGAAGGAAGAGAAGCACAAAATGGACAAGGTGCGGCGGCGCGTTCGCTGTTTCTCTCTCGCGTGCACTGTCTCTGTATACCCGTGCGTGCGCGTGTGTTTGGCCACGAAAGTGCGGGTTTTCTGTACGTGTATGTGTGTATGCATGTGTCTGTGTGTGTGTGCACATTTGCATGCGTGTATCCGTGTGTACAGTATACATTCCAATCTTAAATTGTCACGGTGTGTAATCGTGTGCATACGAGTACCTGCCTGTGTATTCCACATGGTGCGTTCACGTGTCTGTGTGTGCGTAAACCGAATCCAATTCAAACACTTGCGTACGTGCCTGCGCGTGCGTGTGTGCGTCCGCATGTGTGTGCCACAGCTGAAGCAGGATCAGCCCAGCGGAGCTTCCTCCCCTGCTATCCCCAAGCTCACGCTGCGCATGGGTGGACAGATGCCGCTGTAAGTAGCTCATTCATTCACCCCATGGATGGACTGATCTGTCATGTGAATGTGGAATGTTATCCACACCAACTGAAATGGGTGCCGGCCCACACTCATTTGAGCAGTAGGCAGAGACTGACTGTCACTTGAGTGTTGATGTTATGGTTCGAGTCCATCCTGGGGTTTATCGGGCATGTGGCATGCACCCGTTTTAGAACTTTGGAGGTGCAAAGGTGAGTGGATCACAAGAAATCCGTGTGATTCACCAACCCCTGTTTTGTAATCGTTAAACCCAGACATGGCTAGGAGACGCCATTACAGCCAACTTGAGTTCTTGAATCTTTTTGGGTGTTCTCCAGTTTCCTCCGAAGCCAAACATCCCAATGCCCAGGACCAGGACCCTTCCGAAAAGGTGCCTTGAAACCCGGCAAGGTTTCCCCCAGGCTTAAGTACACAACCGAATGTTTACAGCTGAGAGACTGTAGCTCATTGTTAGGGTCACGTCCCCGGCTGGGCTAATTTCTGATGCGGTTAGAACATTTCCACTTCTTAAGCATTGTGCTGAGCGACTCAAGGTCCTACGCTCCCATCCTGAGTGATCCTCGCTTCTAGCCGGCCGCCCTCACATCTCTCTCCTCTCTCTCCACTCCGGCACTCGTTTCGTCAACTCCGCCGTGGTGGCCTCATTGTCTTTGTCGGCGCCGCAGCTGCCCCTGTGATCGCCACCGCCGCCCTCGCAACGTTGTTATCATTTAACCAAATCTTGCACAATGACCGCCGCCACTAGCACGGTTAATGCGACGGTTCCGTTTATTTGTTGATTTTCTTTCCCCCCGCCCCTCCCCCCCCCCCGTAAAGAAGAAAGACCCTTTTTAAGCGGTGACGCGGCGTTTCCGAATGTTTTAGTTTTGCCATGTCGCGCGGCTAAAGCGGGAGACGCAGACGGTGTTTACGGATTGCCACCGCCGCCACCGCGTCCCTTTTGCTTCGGGCAGCGATTTTTAGCTCTCGCTTTTAATGTCTACAATGATGATGATGGTGATAATAATTATAATGACATTTACTTGTGTGCAGGAAAGCCTCATGGAGTCGCTATAGACTTTCTTTTTCAGAAGGGGTCCTGAATAGTTGGGCAAATTAACATTTTTAAGGAGCAATTTTGTTGTGTGGGAGGAAACCGGAAAAAACCCAGAAAAAAAACTCCCCACCAACCCACCCATACAAGGCACGAATGCTCAAAGGTCCTTACAGATAGATTCATGAGTCCGCTTGCTGTGCTGCTATCTTGTGGCCACCGAGCAGTCCATCGGCTTTGGGAGTTGCATACATCTATGTGTGATCCACCAACGCTTGCTATGGTAGTGTTGCATCACGAACGTGGGCCACCACCATGCCCGGCAACCAGTGAGTCAGCGGTTGCGTGACCACGTGCCGACTGACGCACTCAATGGCACACCTTCTAAACTACTTGCTCGCTAATTTATTCACACAACTCGCGCACTTACCCAATAACTTACCTACAAACCCACCTTACCCACTCAACCTATTGAACCACTCACTCGCCTCACTACTGACCACCTCACCCACGGGTTGACTCGCTCATATCCATCCATATACGGACCCAATCACTCACTCGCTGACCCACACGCCCACGTATCCACTTTTTTCCTACCTCGCTCACTCACCCACTCGCTCACCCAACCGCCTACTGACCTGCCGATTTACTGACCCACTTACTCGCCCACCCGCTCATCTACTCACTCACTACTCAACCCACTGTTCCAATCACCCCCTCCCCCAACGCCATCTCGCCCAACGTGTGACCGAGCAGGGTGATCCACCAGACGAGCGTGGACAAGAAGCCGTCCCCTCCGGTACCACGCCCCAAGTCGCCCCCGCTGCTGAGCGGCGGAGGCGGTGGCGGCGGCACAGCCTCCTCGCCGTCGCTCTCCCCGCCCGACTCGCCGCTCCCCCCGCAGCCGCTGCCCGAGCCCCACTCGCACCACCAGCACCGACCGGGGCCCGCGGCCTCCCTATTGGCGGCGGGCCCCGGCCGTCCCGATGGACCGCTAGCCGCGCTCGAAATGACCGCGGGGAAGGCCGGGAGCGGCCCCGGAGCAGCGGGAGGATTGACGGCGGCTGCGGCGGCTGCGGCGGCTGCGGCGGCTGCGGCGGCTGCGGCGGCGGCGCTACAGCGCACCGTCACCACAGAAACCATCAGCACGTTTTTGGTTCGTTGTGCAGCAGACTCCTCATCAGCATCGGCATCACGGTTATGCGGTTGAAATCGCACGCGTAAATGTCACCGGGTCTCAACGACGCTGTACAGAGGCAGCGGGAATGTCTATTCTATTCAGAGAAAGATGCAGTCTTAGGCCCCTGCGTGAGTCCATGGATCCCTGTGCGAGCCTGTGGTCTGAGTCTGTGTTTGTCTACGGATCTCTGAGTGAATCTGCTGAGAGAGGCAGGCAGCCAATCATACACAGGCAGAGAGAAGAGGAATCTCTTGAGCGTGGACCTGAATACAGGGACAGGGAGTTGGCAGCATGGATAGCTGTGGACTTCAACGTTATCTTGGTTTAGGCGATGTTGACCTCAATTCTCCAAGACAGCAGTGCCAGGTGATTAGGGAAATTCAATGCGCAAGTGGAGGTGGAGCCGTGGCTCAGTGGTGAATCGCACTGCACTACATAACCCCGGAAAACGTACACTTGATTGCCAGCACCCACGGCTAACGCCAGTGGCGAGTGATATATGAACTGTTCCTGACTCCCCCCCCACCCAACCACCCTTCTTTACCAACCTGCACACACCAGCGTAGTGAAGTACGGTCACCGCAACCTCGATGGCCGACACGGCTGTTTGTTTGTTTTTTGAGTTGCATCCTTCGCAAAGTTTATTTTAGTTCGTCCCGCGGTTACGCTGTTTAATTGACGATCGTGCGGTTTATTTATGTTATTATTATTTTATTAATTTATTCGTATTATCATTATTACTGGGCACATAGTCATGCTCCCGTCACGGAGCAGAGCTCCAGTCCTCCATCCCGGTCGGTGGAGCCAAGGAGAGAGAGACGGGAGAGGGAAGGGAGCCAGGGAAGGAGGGAGGAGGGGAGGGCATTGTGTTTGTTTAGCGCTGCTGCTGATGATGAGTGAGTGCTGGCCGCCGCCGTCACTGGAAAAGCACCACGTGTAGGGCAACTGCGGGGCTTTTAAAAGCACCGCAAAGTAGGGAGGGATGTTGATTTGAGACCTATTAGCTCTTAACGGTCTTGGGAAGTTGTCCTGTTTTTTTCTCTATGCCCACTTCCCCCCCCCCCCTCCAGTGGACTCCTGTTCGCGCGCTCTCCCTCGCGCGCTCTCTTGCTCCGTGTAAATTCTCGTCTTTGTCAATTTCTCAGGCGGAAGGAAAATAACAATTACCGATTAGAAGTTTGTTTATCCTCGCGCCCGCTCGTTTCACCGGGGAGTAGCAAACATCCGCGGCACGGGGTTTTTAATCTGCGGTTTCTCCACTGCCTTGACCTTGGCTCGAACCCAGAAGGGAGGGTGGGGGGGGGATAGGCTGCAGCGAGGCATCTGGTATCCAGGCAGATAGATAGATAGGCCAACAGACATGCATCGGGAAAACATGTAGGTAAATAACTTAGCTGGCAGGTAGAGACATCTGGCAAATATGCAGATGCATAGTCAAAGCAGACATGCGTCTGGCAAACGCGCAAGTGGATAGGGTATTTAAGCATGCATGCAGACTTTCAAGTATGGAGGCATCTGGGATACGGACCGATGGATAAGTAAGCTGGCCTCTGATACACACTCAGACAGGTTAGCAGACTGACATCTGGTAAGCGTACAGGCAGATAGGGAAAGTAAGCTGACAACTGGGAAACATGCAGGCACAAAAGGAAATTGGAAGGCATCTGGTAAACATACGGAGGGGATTGGCCAACCAGTAGGCAGATAACCCGTTAAACGGTCAGACAAGCAGGCTGGCATCTGATAGACAAGCTGGCTGGCATCTGGTGAACTTGGATTCTGATTGGTAAAGCTTAGCTGGACAACATCTGGAATGCATGCAGACAGATAGGCAAGTAGAAAGGCATTTGGTGAACATGAAGGTGACACCACAGGAAACAAGCAAGCAGGTAGACAGGCAGACAGACAAACATGCAGCGGACACACACAGGGACCAGTGGTGTAGTTATCGAGTGTGCAGGCAGTGCCACTGCACCAGGGCCCGCTGGTGGTCACAAGCCCCGGCGCCGGGCTGCAAAGAAGCGGGGAGTTTGAACAGCGCGCCTCATTGAATGACTCGCGATGGAGGTGCTTGCCACCCCGTGCTGCCACGCCACTGAGGCCGGATGACCGAGCGACCCCCCCCCCCCCCCCCCCCCACCCCACCCCGTGTCTGCGTATGCGCAGGATGCCCAAGGCAACAAGGTGTGGATCTGCCCCGGCTGCAATAAGATGGACGACGGAAGCCCCATGATCGGCTGCGACATGTGCGACGACTGGTTCCACTGGTGAGGGCGAGCGCGGGCGACCGTAGGGGGCGACTTCACACGCCAGCCGCGGCGCTGTTAGCGCTCTCCCATCCTCCACAGCCCCCCACCCTTTCCCCCGCCCCCCCCCACCAAATCCACGACTCTTCACCCCACCCCCCCACCCCAAGCCTTAATTGTTCCCATGCAGAGACCGAAGCACTGAGTGATGCGACGGCAGATTAAAGCGGAGAAACTCGCAAATAAGTCAATTAATATGTGCCGTCGCCGACTCAAAGCGGCGCTGAAATAATATTTACACAGCTGCCGAGTGGCCGCTCGGTAAACTTCTGAAACCTTTTTACGGAAGAAAAAAAAAAAGGGGTACAAAACATTTTTTGAGCGTTCTCGCCGTCCTCCCCGGACTCTTAAAACAGACTATTCCGTACCGTAAATTGGGACGATGAGACACGAGCGGTTTGGCGAATTTATTGCCACGTCTGTTCCTGCTGCAGTCCTCCTCCTCCTCCTCGGCCTTTTCTAGTGTCTGCCAGGCAAGCGGCGGCGTGCGTGTTGTCTTGAACTCGGAGCGACCCGACTCTCGGCGTACGAGCTGTCAGCTCTCCCACAAACGGCCCACGCGTCGGAGTGCGTGCATCACCCCACGCGTACAGACACAATGCGCCCGGGGCAGTGGGGGGGGGACAGAGACGGTGGTGGATCAGTGGTGGCAGTGGTCGAGAGAGTGAGCAATGCAGTGTATTTTGTGGGACGAGCAACGTTCTCAAGGAGACTTCGCAATTGAGCGGTTAACTATTCGTCGGTCCAAGCGTGGCTTTCCAGGTTCGTGTTCGTGGCGGATAATTTATCTCAAGCTTCCGCCACGCACTACTGCGGGCATCTTCAGTAGTGCGTGGAAAAAGCTCGAGAGAGAGGAAATGTTCGACGTGCGACACTTCGGTTAAAAAGCGGCTGCGAAAACGTACGTACGTGTGAGACTCGTCGATCAAAAAAACATTTCTTTCACACGAGATTAGGTGCGTGCAATCGGGCGTGGGAAACAATAACGGGATGCCAAAGAACGGAGAAAGATGGCGTGTTGCGGACACGTGTTGCGAAGCTCCAGTTGCACTGGGCATCGTGGTGGTGCACCGTTCATTGCGAGTCACTTTTGAATGGCCATCCTACGCGCTCTCCTGCGCTTGTGCCCTCCGCCCCCCTACCCCTCTCGCAGGCCATGTGTGGGCATCTCCAAAGCCCCCCCGGACGCCGTCAAATGGTTCTGCCCGCGCTGCCGCCTCGCCAACAGCGCCGCACCCATCGCCGGCAAGCGCCGGGACAAGAAGGCGGCGGCAGCGGCGGCGGCGGTGGTGGCGGCGGCGGCAGCGGCGGCGGCGGCAGTGGTGGTGCCTCCGCCCCCCGTAGTGCTTCCGCCTCCGCCGCCTCCTCCCCCTCCTCCTCCTCCCCCTCCGCCGCCAGTCGTCGTCACCCCTCCCACCAGCGCGGGCGGCAAGCGCAAGGGCAAGATGGGGCGAGGAGGAGGCCCGCCGCCTAAGAAGGGCTCGGGGAAGCTGGTGTCGGAGGCCCTGCCGGTGCCCGCCGCCGCCCTTGCACCGCTGCCGCCACCTACCCCGCCGCCCGTCCCGGCACCGCCGCCGCCGCAGGTCGTTCCCATGGAAGACGTGAGTGGTCCAGATTTGATATTCTGGCATTCCGGTGATTTGGCACGATGCCATCCTGGTGACGTCACCCAACGTGTTTAATTAAATTCAAAAATAAAAATCTGTTAAATGACGAAGAAACCAATCGCAAGGGAAACACTCATGCAGCAGCCGCAAAAATAAATCGATTCCACAGCACATGCACAAGGTGTGCAGCATTGTATGTACAAAAACTCTTAGCCTATCCAGACCACCAGCTCAAAAAGAAGTGGTCTTTCTCAACTCTTTGAGCTGTGGTGGTCTAAATGACAAAATGGCCACGCAACGTTCAGCTCTCTTTTGGACTGGTGGTCTGGTGAAGGCTGAGAGCTTGTGTACATGCAACGCACCGTTGTGTGCGTGTCGATAAATCGAGTGGACAGTGATGCCTCTAGAGCCATACGAAAGAGCTCATGATTGCAAAAGTGGCCTCTTATTTCTTTAACAAAAGCTTCATGGTGAACCAGTGGTGCAGTGCTCTGCTCCTTGCGCTTTGAACCCGGTGACCTGAGTTCAGTTCCCAGCCCCACAATTATCAGTGGCAAGTGACTCGCAACCCCCCCCCCCCCCCACTTCGCCGACCCCCACTGAACCAGCATGGTTAAGTATGGCCAAACAACCCCAAGAGACCCGCAAGTCATCATGGGGGAGGGCTTCATCCAATCCAGCAGTGTTATCGTTATTGTACCGACGCATCGTAATTCTGTCGGATGTCTCCGTATCCCACCAAAGGAGAGCTGTTTTGTTGTTTTGGTTGCGTTTTCCGTTAAAACATCGACGTTGCAACACAAGCGTCTCCGAATGGCACGGCCCGCGAGGCACCGTGCACGTAGCCTAAGCGAGTGCGCCGTTTTTATTGGCTCTGTACAGCGTGGGCAGAAGTGAACGGCGCGTTCGTTCGTTCATTGGGTACGGAACGGCTCTTCGCAGGGTGCACGTTGTCCGTCTCTCCCCCACTGGCGCTCACGCGCTGAGCTACGGCAAACAGACGCCGCTCCTAACTAACTCCCTCCCTCCACGTTTGAAATACGTCTTGGCGCAGCCGCTGCTCCCATCTCCCGTCTCGCGGCGCTATCAGATGGAAGCGCGAGTCTCCAGCTCGCATCACAATATGATTAGTCGCTGCAGCGCTCGCAGGAGTTAACCTATCGTTGAACGAACGGACGAACCAATCGGACGTGCGTACGCACACACACGAACCCGTACAGACGGACTCTGCCTCCAACTCCCCACTGTGTCACCACCCCCCCCCCCCACCACCAATTCCCGCTTCTTGATGCCGATGCCGCCGTCGCTGTTGTTTTTGCTGCGTCTGTGCCGGAGACGCCGGGATGTGCACATGTGAGAGAGAGCGCTGCGAGCAAGACGCGCGGGTTTTGTGCGCGCATGCGAGGGAGGCTCTTTCCTGCCCGGCAGGGAGGGGAGGGACAGGGATGCGGCGGGCGCTTTTGTCTCTCCTTGACGGTTTTACGGCAGCAGCGGCGCTGCGCACCTTCAAACTCCCCGTGCATGCGCACACTCTGCTTGTACGTTCAGCGCGTGCGTGCGCGCTCCGAGCGTGTGTGGAGGGCTCGTTTAATTTTTGTGCCGTTTTATCTGAGTGTGCGATCAGAAATATTCTAATGCCGCCCCCCTGCCGCCCCCCTGCCGCCTTTTATCCCCTTTTTCTTTTTGGCCGACGTGCGATTGAAATCTGCACACACGCATACGTACACGTGAACGCACATGCGTGAACACACATGCGCTCGCACACACACGTGCATGCACACATAAACGGACACGCGCTGATAAACATATGTACATACATGCATTCATTGACTTACATGCATACACAATAATGCACACACGCACACTCATTCACACGCGCGCGCGCGCACACGCATGCGCACACGCACGAATGTGCACGCACGCAGGACTACGAGGAGGGCAAGATCTGGATCTGCCCGAGCTGCAAGGGCGTGATCAAGCAGACGTCGGAGGCGCCCACCATCGGCTGCGAGACGTGCGACGAGTGGTACCACTGGTGCGTCCCCACTAGCGGCAGCGCAAACGATCACGGCCGTCAACGCGATGACGACGACGGCGAAGATGACGGCGTCGATGATGACGAGGCATATCTCATTGTTACGGATGATTTTTTTACGGCAAGGGCCCAATCTCACAAGCTGAGCAGGATTGAGCTTGGATAGCGCTTGGATGGGCGCCCGCCGCGCACAAACCGGTTGCCGCGGGGCTGTCTGGTGGCCAGCAGGGGGTGCTGCACAATTCAGTGTTGTGCTGCAATCGTGCGCCGCCGAGTCTTTGTGCTCGGTGGCATCGCCAACCCGCACTGACCAGCGTGGTGAAATATGGTTCAGTAACCCCCGGGACCCGCACGGCGTGGGGAGCCCCTCATCTTGTATTCGATTGACAGAGGATCTGTACATGCACAGGAGGAGTTTGTTTCCATTCACAAAAACTTGAACAGTTTCAGATCCGTCAGCTAGTAGGCCTCTGGGACTAGCGCAGCCCTGAAGTGTTGAGGCTGAACAAGGCCCGTTTAGACATTGTGACTTGCTGAAGGGCGCACTTTTGTCTGTTCCCATTTAGTAATGATTATTATTTCACTTGGCGGCGGCGGCGGCGGCGGTGGCTATGCTGCACTTGGCTGTTGTAATACAGCAGTGTGGAGTTAGCAGCGAGGATTAGCTGATCAGACAAATGTTGTGAAAGTCACTTCCCGTTGGTGGCGATGAGTTGCCGTGATCTGGCTCGCCAGGAGAATGTGGTGCAGCAAAGTGTGAACTCCGCCTGTTCTGTCTGTGTGGGATAGTTGCACCCCCGAGTATTGTGGGTTTTCTCCGGGTGCACTGGTTTCCTCCCAAACATGAACACTCATTAATTGGCCGGTAACATTTTAATATATAGAGGACCGCAGAGCTTGGGGGGGGGTGGGAATTTGGCGCCGGTTCACCGCGTGGCTGCTGCCTTCCCCCGCTCGTCTGTGGTTCCTCCTCACGCCTCCGAGTCGTTCTCTTCGAGAGGGCGAGCAAACGCTGTGTGGCGACGCATTACAAGTTGAAGTTCTAAATTATTATTAATAAGACGGTTAAATAGAAGGCGCTGATGAATGTACAACATCCCATGTAATTGTAATGCTTGAGCATTGCCGAACGTGGTATGTTGCTGCCGGCTGACTCACTGGTTGGTATGACCGTGCTGTCCAGGACCTGCGTGGGCATCATCACCCCCCCGCCGGAGGAGGAGCCGTGGTACTGCCCGGTCTGCACCACCTCCAGCACCGCCACCGCCAGCGGCGGCGGCGGCGGCAGCAAGGGCAGGGACAAGCGGCAAAAGGGGCGGAAGGGCAAGGGTGGACATTAGCGCGAGGGTGCTGGGCTCGCGGCCTCGCACGCACATCTCCAATGGCGTGGGGCACCCCTCGCCCGTGGAGCCGGCGCCGCTCCCATCGATGCGGCCAACCAATGATGCGCCACCGTAAACAACAACAACAACAACAAAACTGCGGACGTTGTCCACCGAGCAACGGCGCCGGACACCCGTGTGGCCAAACGCTCGGGCGGTTGGGCGGCTGACTCCCCCACTGCCCCCTCCTCCCCCTCCTGCCACTGTGGGTCTCGACGCAGGACTGCGGGTGGACGCTGTGACGCGGTGGAGGGTGAACGCAACGGTGCGGCCGGCGCAATCGCTGGCTTTCTCGCCCGCCCGCCCGCCCACCCTCCCCAGCACGACGCCACGAACTTTCGAGTCGGCCGTTTTTACCGAACGTCGAGATGATATCGTCGCGAACTTTTAAGCGCCACGTCGGCAGATCTAAAAGTCGGTCTCCTCCGCTTAAACGAACATGCGTCGCTAGTCTCACATTGGCAGCCTTACGAAGCCAGTGGTGGAAAGTCCACATTCTTATGGTGGGAGCCAGTCCGTTACACTCGATAGAACAACCACTGCTGACTTCCGACAAAGTGGTTTCTTAATTTTATTAACCCCCCCCCCCCCCCCACCATGTGCCGCAAACCTTAAATATGAGTGGAGTCAATCCTCAACCGGGATCGGAACTCTTAAAACTTTATGGTCGTGGGCGCAAACGCTTGAACCCATCGCGGCACCACCCACGAGGCCATGTATATATGTAAAATACGTATGTGCGTGTGTGTGCACGCACACTTGCGTGCGTGCGTGTGTGAGAGTATTTTTTAACTAAACGTATCCGTGTTTGGTCGTGCACGTACAGTGACGCGTCGGCGAACGCCTGATGATAAATAAAAACGTAGACGAAGTTAGATTTTCTTTTCCTACCCCCCCCTCCTCCTCCCTCTATTAAAAACGTCGTAGTCGTTGGCCAAGCCAGTGTTGAGTCCACGGGCTGTCCGCTCGGTGGCCGTGTCTCTTGTGTACGTCCATGTCCAGGGGGAAACGAAGCCTCCGCAACACTCGCTCGCGTTTTCATCGTCGTGTCTTTGTCATGATATATTTTTTTATTTTTAAACGGGCCTGGCTGTCGAGTTTTATTTCTTCGTTTTTTTTATTTGTGTATTTCTACGTCATAAACTTACATGAGTTTGCAACAGGTCCTGAAGTTTTGCTGAAACCGCACGGTGCGTTGTGTAAGATAAGTGAGTACACGGCAAACGGGTTGCGGTGAGGTGAACCCACCCGTCTGGATCTCTTCCGAGTGTTATCCCCCTTCCTATGCCCTGGTGGGTTTTCTCTGGGCGTTCAGGCGTCCTCGCCCGCACGAAATCAAATTTCTATTTAAGAGAGGACAATTGGTCCAAACATCCCAACGTAGCAGGGAGCCCCCTCTTGAAAGAGCAGTGAGACTCGACGAGGCTTTGCTTGAAGGCAATTTCTGTTGAGTTTATTTTTTCTCTCTCCCACTCACGAGGGACGGGCGGCTCTCTTGAGCTTGCCTCGAGTTTAAAGCTCTCCCACGAGCAGTGGTGTGAGCCAGCAATTGCAGGGCTGCACCTCTACCTTTCACCGCAGATACCTTCTCAGTATTTGGTAAACCCACCGCCATGTTCCGCCAGCATTTTAACCCCCGAATCAAGACAACAATATTCCCGAAAGACTGGTTTCGTTTGGAATTGTCATACCTTCTTGAATGCACTGCCTCTTGGAACTGAGAGAATATATATTTCAAAAACGCATACTCCTTTTTTTTATACACAAGTTTATATGTAGATGTTTTTATTTTTTAAGATTCTGTTTGCGTGTCGTTATGTACCACCACTGCCTCCCCCCCCTACCCCACCACCAAATGATTTCAGTAGTTCCGCTTGGGGGCTATGCCCCATTTAGAAACGAAAACAAAAGTATTAGAAACTGTTGTGGCTTCTTGGTGCTGTACTCGACGACGGAGCGGGAGGCGTGGAGATAAATTATCTGCCGAGGACATCACGGAGAGTCGGTTGTAGGCAAGAGGCCTACGTGGGGTACAAGCCCTTTGCGCCCTGGGGCTCTCCACGCGTGGTGGATCAATGCATCTGCTGGCAGCTGCAGCAGCAACAGCAGTAGCAGCAGCAGCAGCAGGGACCTCCAGAGGAGGGTGCCAGTCTGCACCCTAACCTGGTCATGGCTGATGAGGCCACGTTTGTCAGCACCAGGATAACCAAAGGCCTCTCGCCCCACCCTACTCGGTGTGAGCTGTGCAATTGAGTCACCGTGGACGAACGTCACTGATGAACGTGGCCTCAAAGTTCAGGAGTGGATTAATTGGGTTAAAGAACAACATCGCCCCCCCCCCCCCCAATTACTGGCGGGCTCTACCCCTCTGTGACACATCGCACCGACGTTACAGCCTCGTGCTATTGAGATTGGCTCCAAGAGCAAATGTGCTATGCTGTTTTAATTACGAGTTTATATTCGCAGTGACAGCTTGCGTAGCACAACGCGAATGTCGTCTTGTTTGATGCAAACGACAAATGATTGTTACTGGAATTGTCACAGGCCCATAACGCGTCATCCTATAAATATATAGTATATATATAAAACCGGCTGCCGCTCTCAAAACCAAAAAAACACCACGAGGAATCGAGTCGGAAGCATTGCTCGGCGAATGTGGGAGCCTTTCGTGTGGAAGATTATTTGGTGATCCTGTCGCTGCTGCGTTGGCAGTGGTGCACAAATAACAACTCAACGCGATCATCAAACCCACTGCCTTACGAAAGGAATGCTATATTAGGTGACGTTTCGGGCAATGGCCCTTCTCCCAAGCACTTGAAGACTTGTGCCGCGAAGAAAGGGCAATTGCCCCAAACGTTGCCTATCATATATTTTCCTTCCGTGTGGAGGGGGTGATTGGCAAGGGTGGTTCTTCATCGGGGTTGGTGGTGGGCCAGTTGAGGACTCACGGGAGCGATGTTGCGAATGTCGCCAGCAAATTGGTCGGGCGTCTTTGCGCGATGCGTGTCCCGTGGTTTTGGCTGCGGTAGTCACAGTCGCGATGCGGGAGGAGGAGGAGGGGTTGGGGTGCGATTAGTAGGATCTTGGCCGTGTCTTCATAGATTCGCTTTCTCGCACAGTCAGGAGGTTGGACTGGGTTTTGAGTTGGTTCTGGTACGATTCCTAACCCTCGACCATCGGGCCCCGTGCTTCCCGCTCTGCGGGTGAAGAAGGCAACTTGGCCATAATCCGAAGCTTGGTTCCATCAGGTAGGCGAAGCGTTCATGGTCCCGACTTATTCCTGTGGCCAAATAGGTTGTGAACGATGCGATTAATTTGCGCGTTTGAGAACGTGTTTTTGCACGATTTGCTTACGTTGGCCACGCGGAGAAGTCTGCGGCTGATGAATGTTGCCGCTTACTGATGAATGTTGCCGCTTACTGGCCTCTTCTTGGCTGCATCTCGCCCAGCGCCCACGGGCTGCCACCTCGTGCGAGTCAACGGATACGTCTTGCTCGCTGTCAGTCGGTGGTGGCTGCTCGTCGAAAATACGCTCTCAAGGCTTCCTAGGATCTTCCAGTCTCTGGCGGCACTTGCGGGTGAATTGATTGGAATGCTCAAGTAAAATACGATGCTGGTGATGATGATGCCGCCAGTGCTGGGCTCCCACCAGACCAGAGCTCACGGGGATGTGAGTGGACTTCTTGGTAGCCCTTGCAGAAGGTGCTTTGGTCTTAATGGGCTCTCATCATCACGATCTTACCCACTGCTTTATGAATCCCTACCGATCGTCTTCTCTCCCAGTCTCGCAATGCCACAATCCATCGGGCTCCTGGCGAGGCTGGGCTGCAGTCGTTCTCACAAACGCGCTACAAATCCAGAGAGAGCTGGGTTTGATTCCCAGCCACGGTTCGCGTTGAGTGGCGAGCAACTGCTGAACCCGTCCTGGGGCCTTCCCCTAAGTAGACCCAGCCGACCTACCGTTGTTCGCCGTGCCGGCCTTAATGGGTGCTCGCTAACAGCACTTTGCCTCGGCAGTTTAGGCTCTCTACGGGGATCTTCTGTATGTGTCAATGTAGTATGTGGTGTAAGTGTGTGTGTGTACGGTATGTGTATGCATATGCCCGTCTGTTGGAGCAAATCGCTGTTGGTGAAGCCGCTGCCAATCGCATTCCAGTTTCTCAATGAATTCACCTGCAATGTGGTGGTGGTGGTGCTGGTAGTGGCGGCACCTGAGACGAGAACAACCCGGGGTGGGACTCGCAGCCTGCGAGTCGCCGCTGCTTCTCCACTTTTAACGTCGAAGATGTTGCCTGGGCTGCGTTCGGTTACCGATGCCACCCCAAAGCGCAAACGGGGGGTGCATCTTGTAGTTTGCACAACTCGGCTACTTGTCCCGACTGTCTGACATAAGTTTGTAATTCTCGATTGGTCGTGAGCGCCGTGTTGACTTGGAGGTCGCTCCTAAATCGTTATCATGAAGTCTCTCATTTGATTACTGTTCATATTTGTGCCGGACAGCCCGAGACGGCGCTGCCTTGTGGTAGCGACAGGGTTTAAGAGCTCAAAGCTGCATTAACTTGGGCCTAACATCTTTCTGATTGGCCCAAGTGGGGGTATATACATTGAGGTTGGCGTAAGAAATTGAGGCTGGCGAAACGGGAACGCTCCAGACGGCAAGGTCGTTCAGGACCTCGGTTGGATTCTGAGATGTTGGCCATGGCTTTCTGTCGCTTTCTGACGTTTCGGAGGTATATCTCCCGTGCCGCTCGTGGCTTGGAACCAACCGTATTCAACAAAGATAACATCGGCCTGGTGTTTCGGGGATGTGTCGTTCAAGATTTCGAAGGCATGTGGCAGCGATGGAAGTTGGCATTCGGGCCAGGGTTTCCCCCCCCCCCACCACATCTCGTCGCACAGTAAACTGGCTCTTGAAATTCCCCCCGCAGCTGCTTCATTCCACACCCGAGTCGTCGCGACGCAGTGAAATCAAACTGCGTTATAATTCGCCCATCGTAACGCCAGTTTCTCAAACGTGCGCGCCACGTGATGAATGAAATCGGCTTGTGCAACGACGCTCCCCCGAGCAGATGGCCGCCGTTTGTGAAGTGGAGTCTGGCCTCGACTGCGAACAGCAGCAACCGCTTGCAGAGATGGTCCGCGCACAAGCGATTCGGTGTGCGAGCGATCAAGTTGCACGCGACCGGTTCGCAAGAGAATGGTGCGCACACACAAACACCCACCAGCGATGCGATCGCGTCGCAGCTGATTGCTCAAGCCGTGGATTATTATGATGATGTCACCCTCCACCCTCCTCGTTTCGTCTCCCCCGCACGCGGGCATGCGACTCGTGAACGTGTATTTTATTGTGAGATTATAATAACAGAATAAGAAGACAAAAAAATAAATACTAAATACTACTACGACTCGTGCTGCCGTACGTTACGTTGCGATCTTTTGCGGTTGGTTATTTTTTTTCTCTTTAATTTATTTCTGGGTTCGTCTTCCGTTTCTCACGGATGTTGAAATGGTTCACACAACCGGACCTGCAATGCAGAAGGCGCCGGTTCGATTCCTCTCCCGCCTCAATCAATGGAAACTGGCCTCTCTCCGCCCCCTCTCTATATTTAAGGCCTCGTCACAGAGACGACCTCTCTCTCTCTCTGTGTATCTTTGTGATATCTGTCTGCTTATATGTCTGTCTATAGTTTTCTGGTTAGATTTTTGTTGCTATTTATTTTATACCTGATGATGATTGCTTGTGTTGCAATCGAAACATCGTAGTATGCTATTATTTAATTTATTATTTTATCTTATACGTGACTTTACCGAAAGAACGAAAGAATAATTCCTGCAGTCACGAAAGCTCCAAAATTAAGATTGGTCAGCACAGTTAAGTCTTATCGGCAGATCGTGTGTGGTGAGGGGGGGGCAACCCCACACCCTATTTTAAAAGGTCTGGCCAGAATGGAAGAGTAGGCCAAAATTCCTTCTACGGAGGAGAGGCCCTTTCCGTCAGCAGTGGCGTGAGCCAGCAGTTGCAGGACTGCGCCTTTACCTTCACGGATGTCCGGCTAGTGTTGGACCGAGCTGGTAATGAGATTTCCTGTGACATCATTGTGCGTGTGTATGTATTTACGTGACAACACAAATACAAAGGTCACCGGTATAGCCGCAGACCGTGGCGGGGAGAAGTGCTGTTATTGGGCACCTGTGAAGAAGGCCGGTAGGGGGGGGGGGCGCACACTAGGGTGTGGCTCGAGCCACGCCCCGGGCGGATTGCCCCTCCTCACCGTTGATGTTTACCTATGTCAAGGCCGAGTCGACCTAGGAGAGTGCCAGTACATGATCAAATAGCAATCGGCTCTGATGTCCGGCTTATTGACTCAATGGGGAGTTTACAAACACACCGCAGCCATCGTCACCCCAACTGGCAGACTGACGCCGCAGGTCTCTGGTGCAAATGAGACTCATCCTGGACTCTTTCAAAAGTTCTCACCACCTGGTTAAATAACATGTAATCTTGACATTTGGTACTGGTAGGAACCTCCTGGTTACACCAGCCCACAGGGGATTATTGTGTCCGTCCGTCGTGCAGAGAGGGGCTGGGTGGGGAGGGAGGGGCTGGGTGGGGAGGGGAGGGTGGGGAAGGGCTGGGTGGGGAGGGTGGGGCTGGGTGGGGAAGGTGGGGCTGGGTGGGGAGGGTGGGGCTGGGTGGGGAGGGGCTAGTCACCCCGTGGTGCCCTTATAAAACTCAACGTTTAACCTACTCACGCCGGCTTGTGCCCGCCCTCACAGTCGGGCATATTTGCGGAATACACCACGCCGCCGTTGACCCTGGCCATTGACCGAGCAACCCAACGTTTCTACCAGCTCCCTCCGCAGGAATGTGTTTAACTCGAGTGCCAGCAAATCGTAGTGCAATGCGCGACCATTTGCACCCCCGATCCTCACACGCGCAGTCTAGAGCACACGCACACACTCAACGCACGTGTCTCCCGGCATTGTACGTCGTAGAGCTGTACACGTGTGTACACGCACTGTCACGTGTGCAGTGCCATACGTACTTGTTGTGTACATGGTCTACACACACTAAGATCCCCCACGTCGCCTTTCATAGACTATGGGGGGCAAGTGCTGTTGTTAGCGAGCACTGATGAAAGCCGGGAGCGGCACAAGAGGCAGTGGGTGGCCAGCACCACTCCCGGCCGCCTTTATCTCATTGTAAGGCCGAGTCGACCTAGGGGAGGCCCAGGACCGGCTCGAACACTCGCCACGTGTTATTGGTCGCGAGCGTGCAATCCATCTCGGGTCACCCAAGTCGATAACAACAACTAGACCGCCATTCGCCACGTGAAGTGTCCAACGCCCGCTGGCAGGAGGTCACGGGACAGACCCAGGTGCCATGGGTCGACTGACTTGAGACGACTGGCCGATGCATCACCTGTGCCCCCCTACTGTGCCAACTTGCTGCGTTTTATCCACCCTCGTTGTTGTGAGCGTCGCTCCTCCGTCCTCCGCTGTTGCTGGAGGACGACTGCCTCCAACTGCCCAGTAGCAGCAGCAGCGTCCTTCACGAGCCTCCTCCACAGACAGTCCGATCTTGACACCGCAGGTACCACTCTTCGGAAGTCCATAGCGCACACACATACACACGCGTGTGTGTATATACCAGTGTTGTGAGTCATACACCTTCATAACGTTTTTGGGTTTAGATCGCGTTATTTATAAATGTGTCGTAACCCTCCACCACCCGACACGGCCAATCAGTAAAGAAAGTGTCACGTTGACAAAAGACAAATAGTTCACTGCTTTAGCCCACCGGTGTGTTGAAGCGTGAAACCACAACATTTACAATTTTTGAGTAACACGACGTTTCGCTGGTAATTGCATCCAGCATCATCATCGGGCAATTCGCCCGATGACAGTCATACACCTGTATGCACGTGTGCGTGTGTGTGTGTGCACGAACGGGCACGTGTCAGGTACACGGGGAGAGCGCGTGAACGCCGAGTCGCGGGCTGCGTTTCCACGGCCGCGAGACGTGAATAATTTCGGGACCCCTCTGAGGCGGTCCCTGGAGCCGTTATCTGTAATTAACATCGCGCTTCCAGAGAGAATCACGCAGGACAGCCTGTGCGCGTGTGTGTGTGTCTGTGTGTCTGTGTGTGTCTGTGTGCGCGTGTGTGTGTTTCTGTGTGTCTGTGTGTGTGCGTGCGTGTCACTCGTGGGGGAGCGGTAGTGTAGCAGCGGTTAGCGCGCTGCGCTACGAACCTGGAGACCCGCTCACGGTGACGATCATCTGAAGCAGTCCTGGGCCTCCCCTAGGTCGACTCAGCATCAAATGAGTACCCGGTGCGATGTGTAAACATCGCCACCGGGGAGACAAAGGTGAGCGGGCGTGGTGTTGGCCATCCACCCCCTCGTGTGCTGTGACGGCCTTCATAGGTGCTCGCTAACAGCACTTGTCCCGATAGTCTGATAAGGCTATACGGGGATCTTTGTCCTCGATTTTTTTTTAAAATAACTCTGAACACAAAGCGTCTTCTATAAAGTCGCCTGTTCTATATTCGAACACGGAGTCTTAAATACAGGTAAATGCCTGTTCTAAGGGTCTTAAATAAAGGTACGCGCTCTATATCTTAAATATAGATACACGTTTTATACTGTATATAAAACACATGGTATTAACTACAGGTACCTGCTCTAGATATGAACACATGGTCTTCTATACGGATACCTGTTCTAGATATGAACACATTGCTTTAAATAGTTACCTGTTCTATATATGAACACATGTCTTTAAATACAAATACCTACTCTAGATATGAACACATGGTATTAACTACAGATACCTGTTCTCTATGTGAACACAGTCTTAGGTCAGAATGACGTTGGCGATGCTGCTGCTACTGCTGCTGTGTTGGCAGTGGCGCACAAGCGCAGCCAGCAACGATACCTCGACTCGTTCCGTGTCTACGACACTGCGAACCTTGGAATAAAACACATGTAGTTGACTAGGCGACGTTTCGGGCAATGTCCCTTCTTTACACAAACTACCTCTGTCTGGTCTCTCTATGCGTTTTGTCGAGGGTCATTGCCCGAAACGTCGCCTATTATATAGCTACGTGTTTCTTGTTAAGGCCGCAGTGTGATTGACGAATGCGTTGAAAGGTGGGTATTGATAAACTCGGTACTGTATACGACAAAGACAAATATCTCCCATGTAGCCTTTAAGAGACCGATGAGGCAAGTGCTGTTATCGATTTTTGTTTTAATATGGGCAGCGGTGGCCACGAACCCGGCCACCCAAGTTCGATTCCCGCTCACGGCCACCAACATTGGCGACGATTATTCTGAACCGGTCCTGGACCTCCCCTAGGTCGACTCAGCCTCTAAATGAGTACCCGGTGCGAAGTGTAAACATCGCCCCTGGGGAGACAAAGGCGGCGGGCATGGTGCTGGCCACCCACCCCATTCGTGTGCCGTGCCGGCCTTCACAGGTGCTCGTTCACAGCACTTGCCCCAGCAGTCCGTCAAGGCTAGACGGGGGATCTTTGTCGTTGTGTGTTGAGAGTTGACGGCCGTCCGTGATGTTGACCTCACTCCGTTACTCTCATTAGGATGCGGGGGGGGGTCTCCTCCCTCCTCCCCTCCCCACACGTCCCACAGCCCCTCCCCTCGTTATCTGCGGCGCACAGATAAGACCGCTGCTTTCAAGGCAATTTACACAGCCCCGCCCCTCCCCTCCTCCTCCTCCGCCCCCTCCCTCCCTCCCAGTGTGTCTGTGTGTTCGTCTGTTCGCCCATGTCTCAGTGTACGCGCGCGCGTGCGTGCGCGTGCGTGTCCATCTATGTGCATTCATCGCCGATGGTGTGTTCACTCTTCTCTGTGTGTCTGTGTGTGTTCATCGCGGGATGGGGGAGCAGTGGCGTAGCGGTTAGCGCGCTGCGCTGCGAACCCGGAGATCCGCTCACGGTACCAACACCGGTGGCGATTATCTGAACCCGGTTCTGGGCCTCCCCTAGGTCGACTCAGCCTCAAATGAGTACCTGGTGCGAAGTGTAAACATCGCCACTGGGGAGAGAAAGGCGGTCGGGTGTGGTGCTGGCCATCCACTCCCTCGTGTGCCGGCCTTAATAGGTGCTCGCTAACAGCACTTGTCCCAACGGTATGTTAAGGCTACACGGGGAATCTTTGTCTTTGTTCATTGCGGGGAGCGGTGGCACAATGGTTAGCGCGCACTGCGCTCCGAACCCGACGACGCGAATCCAATTACCGCTGACAACCAATAACAGTGGCGAATATTTGAGCCTCTACTGGGCTTCTCCTAGGTCGACTCAGCCTCAAATGAATACCTGGTGCGGTGTATAAACATCATCACTGGGGAGACAAAGATGGTCGGGCGTGGTGTTGACCATCT